AGGACAGTGAGAGGACAGGACAGTGAGAGGACAGTGAGAGGACAGTGAGAGGAGGTGATTCTCAGGGTCGAGGTATCAGCTGAGACCACTCCTCCGATGGTCGGAGCTGGACTCTCAGTGAAGAAGAGAGGACGCCCCCTTCACTCTCTAATGATTATTTAATGAGCTCTCTTCTTCGCTGAGGTCATTAATGGCAGATTGAAATTTCAGTTCACTCCTCCGTCAGCGGCGGCAGAGTACGTTCACCGTGTCGGTCGGACGGCTCGAATAGGAGGACAAGGAAGTAGCCTCCTCTTCCTCACCCCCGCTGAGACGGCCTTCATTAGTGAGCTGACCAATCACAACATCAGGTCTGTTGACTGACAGCCATCTCAGCCATACACCTTCGAGGATTTGTACTAGACATGCTTTTCACTGTGGGGGTGGGTCTTTTGTGTTTCAGCCTATCAGAGATGAAGCTGCTGGATATCCTGTCCAGTCTGATGATGGATGATGCGTACAAAGGGCGGGGCAAATACCACAGCAAGGTAAGACGCCATGTCACATGACCTGCACGGAGGCTGCTCAGTGTTTCAGCCGATTGGTTCAGTTGGTGTTTGTGATGAATAACGGCGACAAGATGTTTCTCCACCAGACGTCATCTCGAGCTCTGGAGCAGGAGATAAGAGAGCGAGCGACTGTTCTGCAGACGCACTTCGAGAACTTTGTTCACGCCGACGCTGAGTCGCTGCAGAACGCCAAGAAAGGTACGTTCACTGTTCTCTGGAGATCTTGTTGCTCAGTCGGTTGATTGGTTGGTTAATATCCCTGTGATGTCACTGTGATGTCACCAGCTTTTCAGTCCTTCCTGCGGGCGTACACCACCTACCCCGCTCACCTCAAGCACATCTTCCACATCCGCTCCCTCCACCTGGGACACGCTGCCAAGAGCTTCGGCCTCAGAGACGCTCCTCAGAGTCTCAGCTGTGGTGCTCCGGGCCCCGGGACCAAACGGTACAACAACAAACAGACGAGAAGCCCAGAGAAGAACCAGAAGAAGAAGAAGACAAGCGGCAGCGAGGCGGCAGGACGGGCTGAGAGGAGGTGAGTGTGTTTTCACATTTCCTGCTGCCGCTGTTTCACAATAAAAGCTTTGTTTCCTGCAGGCAACAAGAAAAACACGCTACGACCACACAACAGAGATTGTGTGTGTGTGTCTGACACATCTGTCTGCTCATTAACACACAACCCCTGCTGAGATGACAGACACACACAGACCCACACACCCTAATAAATAAAGCAGCGTCTCTTCAGTCACACGTTGTGTGTCAGAGTGTGTGTTTAATGTGTGTTGTTGTTCTTAACTGCTGCTCCTCACAACAGACCTGTCTGGACACGGTGTGACCACACACACACACACACACAC